CACTAGTACTGCTGTGGCTGGCCTTCAGTAGAGACCATAAATTCATGAATTCGTACTATTATCTTTCCTAACTTTTCTGACATTCAGTTTGTTGTTATGTTGATGCTATTGAACTGTAATCCATTGATATTACTGAGTCGATGTTACTTAACATTAATGTTGTTCAACAACACTAATTCATTCATTCATTCATTCGATAATGTATATATAACTGTAGAGCCTGATGATGAAGTTACCGAAAAGAATATTCTTTGTTCAGTAACCATTCTTTTGAAAATCCAGCTAAACCTCCGTTAGTGTGCTAACACTGTGGTTCATGGGATTTTGTCAACCTTTGCCCTTCCAAGAAACATAAATGCCGCAAGTGCCACCGTTTTGGACATAAAGAGGGTTACTGTCCACCACAAATAAACCGTTCGGTGAGGAACAGACGCAGTCTTTTCAGGCTGAAACAATCTCCTCTAATACAGACCATTTTCACAATTTTCAAATTCGATTTTGCCCGCAAAGGGAAGTTCATTACGCTATCTATTAGCAGCAAACTTATTCGTCTTCAGTTGGACATGGCATTAGATATCATTTTAATTTCCCGAACCACGTGGGTACCCAAAGATTCTGCCGACGGAGCTTGTCGCTAAGAATGCCTCTGGAGATATAATGAAACTAATGGGTGAGATAAATTGCCATGTTCAGTTTGGTGAGCATCAGTTCATTGCTGTATGTTATCTCACAAACTACCATGATTTGAATTTGCCTGGTCTTGACTGGTTAGACAAGCTCCATATCTTGAATGTACCATTAAATTCAGTTTGCTGTAACGTTTCGTCCTCACCAAATAACGTAGTTCCCAGATATGTTTATGATCAGTCTCTATTGCAATGCTTGCTTCAAAAGCATGCTTCTGTTATCCAGGACAAGCATGGCTGCTGCAAATTTACCCAAGTTGTTTTGTCTCTAAGGCCAGATGCGAAGCCAGTTTTTCGTCTCAAAAGTCCAGTTCCGTATGCTGATGTCACACTGGTTGAGAATGAACTTGACAGAGTGGAAGCATTGGGTGTCATCCAACCAGTAACATATTCGCAACGGGCTGACTCTGTGGTGGTTTTACGCAAAGCAAATGGTTCCATTCGTCTGTGTGCACATTTCTCAACTAGGTTAAATGATGCTCTAGAGGATCATGCATATCCATTGCCATTTCAAGAAGACTTATTCGTCAAACTTAATGGTGGTAAATGTTTTGCAAAAATTGACCTTGCTGATTATTATTATTATTGTTTCCTTTTATTCCTAGAGGAACATAGGGCTTCAGCCGTGCGTCTCCATTGCGTTCCGTTCTCTGCTAGAGTCTTCACCTGGCTCCAAGTCTGCCCACACGTTTTCATCTCCTCTTCACATCACCTCCTCCTTCAAGTCACCCCACCTTCGCACTGACGACCAACTCGCCGCTTCCCTTTCGGGTTCCACTCGAGCAATGGCTTGTCTAGTGATGTCACTTGATGGTTTCCTCAGAGTATGGCCAGCCAATCCATCTCCATTTCTTCCTGCCTATTTTTTTCACAATCGGTTCCTGCTGGGTTGGTTCGCTCCCAAAAATCCCTATTGCTGATCCTTTCTGGTCATCTGATCTTGAGTGGTATTGAGCGAAGACAACTGTTAATGAAGGTCTGTAGTTTGTTGAGATGCTCTTTATGACGCGCTGGCCAAGTCTCTGATCCGTATAGTAGCACTGACTGACTTCACATTGGAGTTGAAAATCCGGATCTTATTTTTGATGGTGAGTGTTGTTGACCTCCACACAGACTTGAGAGTAGTGAAAGCTTGTCTTGCTTTTCCGATTCTTGCTTTGATATCGTCGTCAGTTCCGCCTGTAGTTGAAGCGATGCTTACCTTTAAATAGAAGTTGAACCGAAGTCTCGAGAGTTGCTAACAATCAACACTCATAGGGGTATCTACCAGTTTACTCGCTTACCAACTGGTGTGAAACCAGCGCCCGCAACTTTTCAGCAGATCATGGATACTATACTTGCTAACCAACTTGGTGTTGCTGTCTACCTCGACGATGTGATAATCACAGGGAGTAGTAAGTCTGAATTGTTTGATCGACTTGAGGCTGTGCTATCCAAAATGTCAGAGTTTGGGTCCTATCTTAAAGAGGATAAATGTACATTTTTCATGAACTCAGTAAAGTATCTTGGGTTTATTTTTGAAGAACATGGACGTCCACCAGACCCAGAAAATGTACACGCTATTTAGAATATTCCCGCTCCCTCTAATGCTGCAAATCTGCTATCTTTCCTTGGCCTCATCAGCTATTACAGTGTATTTCTATCACAGCTTCATCACATACGTGCTCCACTGAATCACCTGTTGTCGAAAAATGCAATATGGAATTGGTCACCTGAATGTCCGAATTCATTTAAAAAAGTAAAATCTTTACTTCAGTCAGATATGCTGCCTACTTATTATGATTCAAGTCTTGAAATCATCCTTGCTGCAGATGCATAAGACTATGGTAATGGTGCTGTTATACCTCACGGTTTTCCTGATGGGACGGAGAAAGCTATTGCACATGCATCTAGAACACTGAATACAACCGAACGCTATTTGAGAAAGAAGGTTTGACGCTTATCTTCGCAGTCACAAAGTTCCACAAAATGCTTCATGGTAGAAAATTCATTCTATTTACTGACTACAAACCCCCCTGTTGTCGATATTTGGTTCGAAAAAGGGCATTCCAGTGTACACTGCGAATCCTTTTAAGGTGGGCTGTCATGTTACTGGGATATAATTTTGATATCAAATACAAACCTACCTCTGAATTTGGCCACGTAGATGCATTATCAGGGTTGCTAAGTCATCAGAAGTTGGAAAGCGAGGATGTTATTATTGCATCCACCTCGGTTGAAGATGAAGTAAGCAAAGTTCTGGTAAGCGCTGCCCAACTTCTTCCGGTGATTGTAGCTCAGGTTGCCAGCCACACACTGCGTGATCCAGTTTTGCAACAAGTGTCAAAGTTCATCTGGAGTGGCATCAAAGTGCCCACGCAAGATAGAACTATGTTCCTGGCCACTACCGGACAAACCATGGTCTCGTGTTCATGTTGACCTCGCCGGACCGTTTAATGGTATGCATTTCTTAATATGTATTGACGCGTTTTCAATAATAGAGGTATTTTCTATGCATTCTGCCACGTCAGCTGCGACACTGTCCCACCTATGTCAACTAGTCTGTCGTTTTGGTACGCCTGATGTTCTGGTATCCGATAATGGGTCGCAGTTCACTTCATCCCAGTTCTCAGATTTCTGCAAACTGTTTGGCATCCAGCATATTCGTATTACTCCCCCCCCCCCGTATCACCGGCAATTGAATGAACAGACTGAACGCTTCGTCGACATATTTAGGCGTGCTTCTGTAAAAGCGAAGGAGAAGGGGACAACAGAAGAAATCTCGGATAAATTCTTGCAGCTTTATCGTACGACGCCAAATCCTTCCGCTCCAAATCAGTTATCCCCAGCGGAAATTATGTTTGGCAGGGAATTCATAACTGTCTTCGACTCAATTAAGCCTAGGCAAGTAAAGCAGGGCTGCAGAAATACAAAAATAGAAAACCAATTACATCGGCAACATGGAGCTAAACACTGGGTTTTCAAATTGTATCTGCAAGTTTATGTACGAGATTTTCGCTATTCACCTCCGAGATGGATTCGAGGAGAAATAGTGGGGCAGAAAGGAAAGGTTCTACACAAAGTGAATATAGAAGGACAACTTTATGTGTCAGACACACGAATCATATACAAGATGCGTCAGACAGACCCGAGAAAAAGGAACGAGACCTCACGTTAGAAGTATTAGTAGATACATTTAAACTTCTGCAGCCGGAAGCTCGGTACACGGATGATATTCTATCCAGTACCACGCGAAGATCAACTCGGCAATGGAGAGTTTGAAAACCTTTTCAAATAGATCCAAAAAGCAAGTCCCAACACTTTTTATTACTGGAGGTGATAGCATCCGGCATAAAATAGTATATCATCATTTCTCACTCCTATTGTGATTGATTATGCGATCAATCATTTCAAACGCTGTTGGCCGTCTTTATTGTTGTAAAAATGTATAAATAATATGTGTTGTTCTCATAATGCTGATTACAATATACAGTCACAGGCCAGTCTTTGTCTTTTGATATTTGCATGGCTCAGTGCATCGGAAGGTACCACAACCGGATAGGCATATTAGGCAGGGGCAGACAGAACAAAGTGGCTGCAGTTCTGATTCAGTTCAGTGCATTTATAACAGAAATAACCGTAGATTTCAAAACTTCTGGTATGAAGTCAGGTTGTGACAGTGCGTCACCTACCTGCGGAGTGAATGTCTCCAACTCAACTTTAATCACTCTTCTTCTTCTACATGATAAACATGATTCCCGAAATAATACAGATATGCAACAAATACCTAACTGAGTCAGTTGAGTATTTATATAGGGATACATTTTTCGAAGATGCTGACAAACAAATCAGTAGGAACCTCAAAATTTGTACTCTCAAATCAGTCCACACACACACACATCTATTTCCATTCAATTTTGTACTTTTATCTAACAGTTATGATATCGTTCTTCTGAGTGAATAATTAATTCAACAAACCATAATAAAAAAACAATATTGCTATTTGAATGTTCAAAGTACCTCATTTCAACTTGAATTTACTTCAGTGTGAATAAGACTCTTCGACTCGAACTTCGCCTACACAGATAAAATAGCTTTGATGTTTACTGAGAAGACTATATTTTGTGTACTTTGAACAAAACAATATATACAGAATCAAACAGAATTAACTCACTCAAGTGTCTCAATAACAGGAGTGATAAGATGAAGTAAAAAATAAACACACAAAATCACCATATTACGATTCAAAGGTCATCATCAGTTAGGCTATTTATAAAAGAATTAGATATGAAGACGTTTGTATAGTTTGACCATCACCTCATCACCCAGTGAAGAATGTTGAATACAGTGTTGTGTATCGTCTCCTTGATGAGCATCCTCACTGCTCATATACTCACCGACAAGGAGGTACAATTCGAGCCCCTATCAGATGAAATGATTGCGTATATCAATCAGCATGTGAGTTACACTTTCAATAAAATATTTCCTGTCTGCCATACTGCTTACCATACTACTTATGTGATACACACTCATTCATTCTCACTATCGAATATCTACGAATGTGATGAATTGATGGAATGTGTTCGATGCAGCAATGTCTAGTGACAAGCAGCGAAACACACCTCACCAATCAGTAAATACTCTTCCCTCAGGTGAAGAATAAATTCTGTTAGACGGTTATCTGAAGTCAATTCGTGATTTCATTATTCCATGTAGAACGATAGTCTACTTTACTTGACCACTCGTATATATTTCATGCAAGTGTCAATTTTGTCAGCAATGCAGAAGCTAATCCATCCTCACTGAAATCGTTCGTGAACAAGAAATTTGTTGAAGTTAGCCTGTATATTTCGCACCACTACACGTTTTATTCGCCTCAGTCTTCAAGTGCAGTGTTCCAATTTGTTATGGGATTTTATGTGAAACTTCGGTTGAACACTGGATGGCAAGTAGCTATTGTCACGCGTCTAGTCCTTTGCTTGGTGACGACTGAATTCTATCAGTAAAGTTTGCAATGTGGCTGACTTCACGCTGCACTCCGAATTGTTGTTGTTAGATGGTTGGAGGCAGTCAGCAGGAAGCGTTGCAACTAGCTTTCGTGAACACTTGACTGAGAGAATTCAGTCTGCACCGAACAAAATACCAGACGCATGACACTAGCTACTCACCATCTAGTGTCCAATAGAAGTATCTAATACAATCCCGTAGGAAGTCAATCGTCAGTCCGAACAGCTCAGTGGAAACGTCTCTGACTGCAGCACTAGTTGACACAGGTTCGAATCTCAAACAGGATAGGAGTTGCCTCAAATTTTCAGATACGCCTTGATCACGAGTGCCAACAAGCCCGAAAACATTTGTTGAAGGCCACCTGCCGATTGCCTCAAACCATCTAATATTCTGTGTGACACTGTGATTATGAAGGCTTTTCTATCAGGTAGGCGTAAATGCAATTGGACACCTGTTCGACGATGATACGACTCAGAATGGAAAATCATCCCAACCAATAGAACAGTGAAAGAGTGAGAGGTGATTTACTTCACTGTTTCGCATCATTTAGTTACAATGTGAATTTGTTTCAGTTATTTTGAGCACTGACTTCCCCTCCCTCTCCTTCATTTGTCAGCCTGATGCTGGTTGGACAGCTAGTCGAAGTGATCGATTCAAATCGGTGGAAGACGCACGAATTCTACTCGGTGCCATGCGTGAGGATGAAGAGTTAAGAAAGAAGAGACGACCAACAGTTGACCATCAAAATGTGAGCATGGAGATACCATCGAGCTTCGACTCACGAAAGAAGTGGCCTCAGTGTAAAAGTATATCGAATATTTATGACCAATCCCGATGTGGTGCTGGCTGGGTAGGTTTGAGCAGTCTTGTAGCATATTTAACCTGAATATTATCTAGAAATATGCTTGTGGCCTTAGCAATTATTTCATATGTTGTACACACATGCTAAGCTTTCCTTTGTTACAAATCAAAGTACCTGTTTCCTTCCTTGTCTTGCCACAACCGATGTTCTTAAAGGGTTTCAGTCCTTAAATTCTTCACAAAGCTTGTGTCTAGATGACATGTTGAATGATAATCTCAGAAAATATGCGGATATCACTGTTGTCCTGTTACTGGTGTTTTCGGTGCATCATTTCCTAAAGCCTTTACCCCCTGTCGTATGGTAGGCCATTAAAATTGTACCATTAGTTAAATCATTCACTCAATGATGTGCTAAGCTTAACCACACTGCTACTACCTCATACTTTTTGAAAAACGTGGGAAAATTGCTCTCACGTAATAGTAAACCTTCATTAAAGACTCTGAATGATCCAAAACAGTTGACTTACAAATACCGAGGAAGTGATTTGGAAGTTGTATCTGATTTTCATTGTAATTGCATTACCAGGTAGAACAAGAGTGCCATGTGCATCCACTGTAACTTCATAGACCATAAATCTGCTTTTCACCCCTTGGTTTAAGCAAGGTGTTTGTGACTCAGAATGAGAGCTGGATTGTGAGGTGAAAAGTGGGGAATATACGAATGAAAGTCTTTCACCTTATAGGTTACTAAAGCCAATGTCCCTGAAGCTTCTGCTCTTTCTACTTTGCTCTCCTCATTCTTCTTGAGTGACTCACCCCTATTCTAACGAAGCTCATTTAGTCAAGAATACCGATGAGCTGACTGTTTCCTTTGCCTTGTTACTCCCCACTGAGATTCTCCTAAAATGAATAGCACGAATATGAGAAAGTAGCCAGTAGTCCTTGTCAAGTGGTCGCAAGCTGACTCCATCCAAATATCAGGCGAACCATATGTCATTGAACCCTGAATGATCTGGTTCATCCTCACAACTGAAGTAGAAGCTGAGTTGAGTGTTAGGGTATCTTGAAATACACTTACTTGTCTTGTGATATTTTGCTGGTTTCCTAATGCAGTTGATTTCCGGGGGAATATTTCATCTAACGTTCTGCATACATAGGTTGAGACACATTGATTTTACTTTCACAATTTGTTGTCTCTTTCACTTTGCTTATTTTTCGTGGGTTACTTTAGGAAGACTTTGTGAAGGACACTAGAAGCTGTTAGTAGGGTGTTTTGTTTGGTGCTATGCATTTGAACTCTAGCAAGCAAAGTCATTATTATCATTAATATTCTCATCACACTGATAACTATAACTATTTTCCCGGTACCTGAAGAGCAATAGATGCACTACTGATATATATATATATGCGGGAAATTCCTTTTATGATTTTTCAGGCATTCGCTGCAGTTGGAGCAATGAGTGATCGTATCTGCATTCAGTCGAAAGGGAAGAAATCTGTCGAATTAAGTGCAGTCGATCTACTCAGCTGTTGTCAGGATTGCGGTTTGGGCTGCCAAGGAGGATATTCTGAAGCAGCCTGGGCTTACTGGCTAGAAGAAGGCATTGTTACTGGCAGTTCAAAGGAGAACCACACAGGCTGTCAACCATATCCATTCCCTAAATGCGAACATCAAACTAAAGGAAAGTATCCAGAATGTGGTGAAACGATTTACAAGACACCGAAATGTCAACAGAAGTGTCAAAATGGGTACAAAACACCTTATAAGAAAGACAAGCACTATGGTAAGTAGAGTTGATAATGATGATGATGATGAAATTCGTTGAGATTGCTTAGATTCTTCACTGAAAATGTACAGTTAAATTCTTCTTCTATTTACTATTCTTATGAGTATTTGCGAAACGGCATACTGATGTCGTTAGCAAGTAGATTTTATGATAAAAATAGTAATTATGATAATAATGTAGCTTCATTTCAGGCAAAATAGGAACACACTGCACAGAAATTTTCAGCGCATCTCGTCCCATACATTTCCCCTTGAGACAGGATTTACATGTCAAGTAATCATCTGAAGTATATCCTGTTGAGTATTGTTGTTGCATAGGAACAGAGAATCAGTTCTGTACACTTTTTCTTCGCTTTCCTTCACAGATTGCTTGGAGTTTGACTGAGAGTTTCTGAAAAATGTTTGCGGGTTCATGTAGTGATTTCGTGATATAAATTTACGATTTAAACAATAAGAAATGCAGAAGAGTTCAAGCATTTTGATGGAAGGGAATTCTAGTAGCACAGTGATTGAAGAAGGCCGGCGTATGAGTTTACCCAACGGAACGTACTATTTAATAGTAATAATATTTAATATACTCGATAACTTATTTTATTTATTATTTTACTCCTTGAGGTTTCGAGTGGAATTTTCGTTAGTAGGTGTTTTGTTTTAACAGGGTATGATTGCCAGTCTCTTGCACAGTTTCTCCTCTTTACTGGCCTTACCACCGACTTAGCGAGGTAAAGGAGTCGAATCCCGGACCAGGTGCGTCACTCGTGGGCGATCTACCGTTGAACCACTGGGGTCATAATTCTAGGGATCAGTCCTATAGTGCATATCACCAGGACGTCAAACAAACTTGATAACTTAGCACTGATATTTATGATTTCCAAAACGAAATGTGAACTGATGCCTATTAAATTGAATTTCCTTATCAAGTAACGATGTGTCAGTAATCCACATAGAGGTGAGCATCGATTAGGAAAAGATGAATATGCAAAATAGTCAGGAAGTGTGTCATTTCTGCTTAACAGTGACTGTATTCTAGTGACCAATCAGTCACCTATGAGGAGAATATGAGTGAAAATTGTGGTGTATGAGAATTAACTGATGACAACTGGAGTATGTGTTGTCCATTTTACTTTTATCACTATTTGCACAGTACCTAATCCACTCACGCATCATACATTACACAGAATAAGAGAAGTAACCATTTTTGCTTGTAGTACATTTGATATCATAAAGCATCAACTTGACAACACCAGTTAGTGATGAGCAAACGGATTCCACTTCACCTGGGTATTATCAGTTATCTCTGACTTGTTCTTGGGAAGCGACCTCCATTATGTGCTTCTAAATTCAAAGACAATTTCAAATGGATTGCATGTACCAGAAGAACATAGTGGGAGACTAAAAGCAACAACGGATTACCGGATATAGTAAAGAAACATGTGAATAGGCATCCAGTCATTCAATTCATGGTGTCTGGAAATTCTTGGTTTCACTGATTGGCACTATAGGGCCTTAGTCGTCATTATTGGTGTACTCATCTGAGGAGGATGAATTTATAATTACCGTTTCTAACAATGTTATACTGTTCAGAATATTTTCTGTACTGATTTGTGTGGTCATCACTAAATCAATCTCATGTGCTTAGATAGTTTTGTAAATAATTATCATGTACTCAATGAAATCGGTGAAGAATTGAGGTAAGCACTTGCTTCTATCACGTCAATAGTGATACTTTACATACTCTCACTTTTATCTACCATTCATTCACTAGGTAAGGAGGCTTACATCGTGTTTAATAACGAAGATGCAATCAAAAAGGAAATAATGATGCATGGACCAGTGGAGGCAGTTTTCACAGTATATGCAGATTTCCTTAACTACAAATCTGGAATCTACAAATATATGAAAGGGAAAGAAATCCGTGAACATCCTGTAAGAATCATAGGATGGGGTGTAGAGAAGGAAACCCCTTACTGGTTGATTGCAAACTCGTGGAATGAAGATTGGGGAGAGAAAGGATACTTTAGAATATTACGTGGAAAAGATGAATGTGGAATTGAGTCATTGGTTACAGCTGGATTACCTCGTGATTGATTTATTTCATCCCTGTTGAATTGAGTACTTGTAACTACTCATTCTAAATAAAGTAAATTTATAAACAATATTCTCTTCATATCAAGTTGGTGAAACACAGTGTAAAGGATACTTTTGGATTTGTTGAAAGGATAAATGATTTAAATGTTGACAATAAATTCATGATATCAATTGGCGTATCTTCCTCATTCACCAATGTACCACTTATGCAAACAGTGGCCTTGATATGCGAAGATCTCATAAGACGAAACATCGATGTTGGCATTCCTATATCTTTTATGGAATAGCTTCTCTTGAAATGCACAATGAATGTCCACTTTTTATTTAATAAGGAACTATATAGACAAATCGATGGTGTGGCGACGGGATCACCACTAGGAACTATTCTAGCCGACATTTTCTTCGCTAAACTAGAAAATGGGCCTTTGAAGGATGCTATTAATGAACTCGAATTCTATTGTTGGTACATGGATGATACATTTTTGATTATGAAAAATGAGAAGGAAGCAAAGAACTTCCTGCATAATATTAACGAGGTTCATCTTGCAATAAACTTTATTAATGAGAAAAAAATATATAGTATTTCATTTCTAGACGTCCTTGTGATCAGAAAAGAGGATGGTGCAGTCAGATGAAGTGTGTATAGAAAACCTATATCAACGGGTCAGTATACTCATTTTCTCAGGTTTGTGCCCTTGAAATACAAACGCAATCTGATAAAGTGCTTGGTTCACAGAGCAAGAGCAATTGTCTCGGTTGAATGTCTTGATGAGGAACTTAATAATGTTAAATGGTTGCCAAGTGAAAGTGGCTATCCAGAAAAATTTATTCATAAGAATATGAATCTAAAATCAAAGAAGCCTAAGGTACCAACAGTTCCAAGAAAGGCCTTATTCTTACAAATTCAGGTCCTCGGGGACAACATCAGCGAGATACTAACACAGCGCCTTAGAAATGCGGTAAAAAGAGCATTCCCTGCTGCCGAATTATGCTGTCTTCAAAACCACTCCTCTTTTGCGTTCGGGAGTAAAAGATAAACTGCCTAATTTCGCCTCTTCCATGTGCATCTACCAATTTAACTGCTCCTGTGGAGCCATTTACATAGGCCGTACAATTAGTCGTGTTTCTCGTCGAATTTCCGAACATCACCCTGTGTGGTTAAGCAAAGGATAAACCAAATCTATCCGTAGCGCTATTCTATCTCATCTTGTGCATACAGAGCACAAGATTGATGTCAACCATGCTTTCAGCGTCATTTGCCGCATACCTACGAATCTCAATTTCGCCTTAAGAGTTCGACCACTAAATATTGCTGAGGCTGCTGGGTTCCATATTAACAAGCCTAATTTGTCCATCTAAAAGAAGTTAGTTCAGACATTATCCTTACCTTGGCCATCTAGCTTTGAATGATCCCCAATTTTTGAGGAAATTTCCTAATATTATTTGATATTCTATTTACTACTATATCTTTATTATTATTAAAATTTAAGCATCTTTAATAAACTTTAATTGCATTGCTCTTACTTTACAAATAGATATTATTTAAAAAAACAATAACATTGTTATTAACTACTTAAATAGAATATTCTATGTATATAAACACACATGTATATAATTGTAGAGCCAAAAGAGGAGGAAATTATCGGAAAGGATATTTGTTGCTAAATTATTTTGTGTTTTATAGATGTCGGAATGAATATTTTCCCTATACGCCCGTGATAAGTCTTTGGAAGTGGGGAAGGATGTTCTCGAAACGTTCACTGAATATCCATCATTTACGAACAGCTATTACTGCCTGAACTCACCTCTAGTGAATCTGACTAATCTGCAATAACACATATTAACGAGTTCGAGGATATTTACATTTTAACGTGAAATATAAACTTCAGGGACGATTGACGACAGAATAAATACTCACTCACACCTAATCCATCGAAATTTGTCGAATCGGAATTGTAACTATCGTGCAAAACAGGTGTTGATTTAAGGTAGATAATTACGTAACTAAGCAGTTTCAGAAATTAGTGTGATTGTGAGTAGTTGTCACGTTGACAGGTTGGCACTCAATGTTGAAGTAGTTGTCTCGTAATTTCACCAAGAAGTTCATCAAAAACATGAATAGAGATAAAAATTTCAGAACAACGCATGTTAGCGAACAATGTTGTTTCCAAGCAATTCTCATCCGACTCCACTCGAATGCACACAACTTTACAAATTAATCATAGTGATTTGTCAGTAGGATGAGAAGATTGTGCATATAAACTGTGCAGCTGCTATTCATCATGATGACAGTAGTTCTGTTAATAAGAAAGATGTAAAAGTGAAGTTGTTTGTGGTAGCAGAGTTATTTGGATAGTCTAATTAGAAGATGGAGTTTACCTGAAAAATGTGTGATGTGCTTGCACAACACATTTTGAACAATCTGGTCACACTGGTCACATTCACTTGTCAAATCAATTCATCTGACAAATGAAAGTCGAATTGAGATAGGCAAAATGACAGCGGACTTGATAATACATCTAGATAAAGATTAGAAAGGTAGGTTAAGAGTGAACACAGATGGAAAGGGTGACCAGTTTTTTGCGTTTCAGTAGTGTTTCCTTTACATTTAATGGACATGCTACCAAGGAATTCCATGGACTGTCCTGTGTCCCTTTTCTATACACACTTCTTCTGAGTGAATCCCACCTAGCAAGACAGCCATAGTCTGCTGTCCTGCACTTCTCCACAAGTGATAGTCAGAGGAGTGTGGACTTTATAAAATCTCATCAATATTTGGAAACATTTATTTCCCGATACGAATTTAAAACAAGCAATAAAGGTTAATAAAGCAGGATTTAATGAATTCATCAAATTTTGGTAGAACTCGTCAGCTGAATACTCTACATACACGGATATATATACTTTTGAAATTACATTGGGAGATATAGGACTGATAAGTAAACAAACTACATCATCAATATTTCATTTATCTTGACAGTCCCAAACGAAGGCTGAACTAGATAACTTTGCCACACCTATGTGTATTTGTCAGTTTATTTGATACCTCGGTGACAGTTATGTTAGGCGTGCCACTAGACAGATCAGCCGACGTGTCGCCAAACACTTTCCATTGTGGTCTGGTAAAGGATGGATAAAATCCGTTTGCAGCTCTCTCCTTTATCACATTTAGTCGCCGTGATAGTGGCCGTCGACTCCACATTCATCTTCTCCATATAGCTGAGGCGAATGATATTCGAAGTACTCAGCTTGAACTATGCATTCGGAAGAAGTTCATGTAGCCTTCATCCCCAGTGTGGCCACTGAGGACCTACCCAACTGACTATACAACCGCCACTGAAGAGACAGTACCAGATGTCTCTTGAGATTTCTGAGCACTCAACTGCAGGAGTTTGTAAGTTGTCCGTTCCATGTCGACCTCGGAGATGTTGATATTGTCGGTGACTTACCAATCAATCAGTCCAGCATCCGCTCAATATCCCAACAGTAATTCGGTGTTTGGAGGACCAAGGCTGAAATCTGTAGGATAATATTTCAACTACATTCATGATCACAAATGATAAATCATCATCAACAAAGCATTCGTCTAGAGAAATTTGTTGACAGTTGAGTTGAAAGGATCACTTTGCAAACTTGCCACGTAGACACATGCAAGTATTATTATATTATTATTATTATTGTATCCTTTTATTCCTAGAGGAACATAGGGCTTCAGCCGTGCGTCTCCATTTCGTTCCGTTCTCTGCTAGAGTCTTCACCTGGCTCCAAGTCTGCCGACACGTTTTCATCTCCTCTTCACATCACCTCCTCCTTCAAGTCACCCCACCTTCGCACTGACGACCAACTCGCCGCTTCCCTTTCGGGTTCCACTCAAGCAATGGCTTGTCTAGTGATGTCACTTGATGCATTGTTTCCTCAGAGTATGGCCAGCCAATCCATCTCCATTTCTTCCTGCCTATTTGTTTCACAATCGGTTCCTGCTGGGTTGGTTTGCTCCCAGAGATCCCTGTTGCTGATCTTTTCTGGCCAGCTGGACATCTGATCTTGAGTGGTATTGAGCGAAGACAACTGTTAATGAAGGTCTGTAGTTTGTTGAGATGCTCTTTATGACGCGCTGGCCAAGTCTCTGATCCGTATAGCAGCACTGACTGACTTCACATTGAAGTTGAAAATCCGGATGTTTTTATTTTGATGCTGAGTGTTGTTGACCGCCACACAGACTTGAGAGTAGTGAAAGCTTGTCTTGCTTTTCCGATGATCCTCGCTTTGATATCGTCGTCAGTTCCGCCTGTAGTTGAAACGATGCTTCCCAGTAGCTATTGTCACATGTCTAATCCTTTGCTTGGTGACGACTGAATTCTATCAGTAAAGTTTGCAATGTGGCTGACTTCACGCTGCACTCCGAATTGTTGTTAGATGGTTGGAGGCAGTCAGCAGGAAGCGTTGCAACTAGCTTTCGTGAACACTTGACTGAGAGAATTCAGTCTGCACCGAACAGAATACCAGACGCATGACACTAGCTACTCACCATCTAGTGTCCAATCGAAGTATCTAATACAATCCCGTAGGAAGTCAATCGTCAGTCCGAACAGCTCAGTGGAAACGTCTCTGACTGCAGCACTAGTTGACACAGGTTCGAATCTCAAACAGGATAGGAGTTGCCTCAAATTTTCAGATACGCCTTGATCACGAGTGCCAACAGGCGCGAAAACATTTGTCGAAGGCCACCTGCCGATTGCCTCAAACCATCTAATATTCTGTGTGACACTGTGATTATGAAGGCTTTTCTATCAGGTAGGCGTAAATGCAATTGGACACCTGTTCGACGATGATACGACTCAGAATCGAAAATCATCCCAACCGATAGAACAGTGAAAGAGTGAGAGGTGATTTACTTCACTGTTTCGCATCATTTAGTTACAATGTTAATTTGTTTCAGTTATTTTGAGCACTGACTTCCCCTCCCTCTCCTTCATTTGTCAGCCTGATGCTGGTTGGACAGCTAGTCGAAGTGATCGATTCAAATCGGTGGAAGACGCACGAATTCTACTCGGTGCCATGCGTGAGGATGAAGAGTTAAGAAAGAAGAGACGACCAACAGTTGACCATCAAAATGTGAGCATGGAGATACCATCGAGCTTCGACTCACGAAAGAAGTGGCCTCAGTGTAAAAGTATATCGAATATTTATGACCAATCCCAATGTGGTGCTGGCTGGGTAGGTTTGAGCAGTCTTGTAGCATATTTAACCTGAATGTTATCTGGAAATATGCTTGTGGCCGTAGTAATTATTTCATATGTTGTACATATATGCTAAGCTTTCCTTTGTTACAAATCAAAGTACCTGTTTCCTTCTTTGTCTTGACACAACTGATGTTCTTAAAGGGTTTCAGTCCTTAAATTCTTCACAAAGCTTGTGTCTAGATGACATGTTGAATGATAATCTCAGAAAATATGCGGATATCACTGTTGTCCTGTTACTGGTGTTTTCGATGCATCATTTCCTAAAGCCTTTACCCGCTTCTATTAATTGAGAAGTTGGTGTTCCGACATTCCAGTCGTTGTCTTGTCTTCCAAGTGTTTGCATAGGATGCAAATAGTTCACGTTATTTGGACATTTGTAAATAGTGTTTCTACTTCATATGATTTACATACGATGAAGAAGAATTTTGCGTCAGATGGATGGTATTGGCGTATCGT